ATGTCATCATCATCTTCCTCAATTATGCTGGACTGTTATTGCACCCTTCACCTGAGCACCCAGAACAAGTAGAGTTACAGTATAAACCAACTTTTCTGCACCCATATGAAACGCCGCATCCTTTTTTGCATTGGCAAAAAATAATTTTCAAAAATTTATCGGGTGCAGGTTGTTTGTTCATGCGTACGGGTAATAACAAACCATCTTTGGAAAACCATCCCCAATCTGTTGCTCTAATATTTTCATTGCCAAGCCATAGACATATGAGCAGATGTTTTATTCTGTTGTATGGGATTTCAAAATAAGAACGCTTAAAATTTCGAATGTATAACGCCCCACTAGCTAATATACCGGTTTTGTAGATTATTATGCTCCGAAATGTACTGTACTATACTAATGGAATTTTCCGGAAAAAAATTAACTGGTTTTTTTAACGATTTCCTTTAATTTTTAACGAAAGATGTTTCTTCAAAAACGATTTGTAGAGGTTTTTAATAGCTACAAGGATCTGTGAATTAAATCTTTTTGGAACCCTTGGTTTTTAAATGGGGTGAGTTTAAAGGGCTCGAAAAAGATGGTGCTTGATTTTAAATCGATGCTTTAAACGGCTATATCTCGCCAAATATTCATTGTACAACAAATCTATGTAAAGGATAATTTTAGTCATTAAAAAAGCTACAATTTGTTAATTTTTATTTTTTTCGTATATTCAGTATTTTCGGGCATATTTAAAAAAAAAGGGTAAAAAATATGAAATTGTAAATCGTTTTTCGCTTTAAGCTGTACTTTTTCTAAAACTAAGCATTTTAAATGGGTCAAACTTCTTGGACGTATTAACAATACATCTACAAAGGGAATTGCAGAAGGGTGAAGATCGATTTTAATTATGGGGGTGGTTAGGGTGTTGTTTTCCTCGATTTTTTCGTAAAAAATGAGGTATTGACCTTATTTTTTTATGGTAGGTCTATTTATGCTCTTTAAAAAAGGTTTTGAGAGTTTTCTTCCAAAAATGCATCATTTTCCCGGTATTTGACTTTGAATCTTTCAAATTTGGCATTTGAAGAAAACCGCTGAACATTGATATTGTATTTGTAATTGTATTTGTCTTTTTAAAAGCTACAAATTTGTTCTCTACAATTTTTTTGATAAAATGCACCATTTTCGAGTTATTCGCGAAAAATCGATTAAAAACGTGGATTTTTTCGTCTAAAAGTTGTTACTTTCAATCGCGAATAACTTGAAAAATATCATTTTATAAAAAAATGTATAGCACATTTTTTGTTTAGAATCACTTTTCTAATCGAAACCTGTAGTTAAAACGTAAAAAAAATTTTCACCCCGGAGATGGGGTGGCAACCACCCCCTAGGCTTTGGCGCACTTTGGTTCGATATAAATTTTGATCCTTAGGCTATTACCTACCTTCTGTTAAATTTCAAGTCAATCCACGCCGCACGAAAAAATTGCTAGGTGAAATGCTACATTTCCTGGACTATAACTGGTTTGACAGCATAATAAAATCATAGATTTATGTGTAGCTTTTAATTTTTATGAGTTCAGAATCCAGCAGCCCGCTGAAGTATGGGGTTTTTTATAATATAATTATTTGACAATCTTTTGTTGGCCAACCAGCTACAGCAGAATTGAGCCGAAATACATTATATTCCTATGTTCCGAATTTATTTCGTTCAATCTGTATGTACTCTTTATTAATGAAATAATAAATATAGAGAAAATTGTATGACAGTAAAAATATTTGACTTTGTCTTTAATTTATGCAGTTGCTACTGAAGTTTCTTCAACATGAAGAGCTTCTTGGCGTCTTATTTGAAATCGTAATAATAATGACAATATTGTTAATGATACACGACTTATCAGGTGGGGTCTGATGAGATCTGTACTAACTTCTCTTAGATATTTATGGCGTTTAAATTTAGTATTAGTATTGCTTTAATAAATTACCTGACTATTTATTCCTGAAATATTCATCAATGAAAAAAAGACTATCAAAGAAAAAGTGACCATCAGCAACTTATTCGAGAAACTGAATAATTACATTTCATCTGATCCACTGCTTCCTTTGTCATATTGTAGAAGGTTATAACCGCGGCTTAAACGTTTCTTCATCAATTGTGTTATCATCATGAAACATAGATAACATCAGAACATTTTTGTTTTCCTTGGGAACGTATGATAGTAAAAGACAGTCTTTATCATAACTAAAAATGCTGCTGTTTAGTGGTCTTCCTTTTGTAGCTACAAAAAGAGGAGGAATTTGGAGTTTATTTTTTCTCAGGGTTCCTACTAGATGTATACTGTAATTATGTAACAAGTCAGTAGCCAGTGGAATGGACGTAAACCAGTTGTCGCAAGTTATGTTGCGTTTAGTATGGGCAATTATTTCTATCATACGTTTAATCGCACTGCTAGGACTATTATCTATCTCAAAGGGCTGCTATCTACCTGCTTTCCAGCATATATTTCCAATTTTGCTGTATAAAAAGTTCGCGAATCCATGCGAACATTTTTATCCCATATTTTGCCGGCTTACTGGGTATATATTGACGAAAGCTACATTTTTCCCGAAAACCTTCAAGCATCTCGTCAATGCTTCAATACATTCCAACTGTATAGCAAGCCATGTACTTTTCTAAAAACTCGTCTAAAACTTTTCTAATGGGTGCAAGTTTGTCATGCTTTCGTCGTTCTGCTCTGAACTGGATATCGTCAAAATGTAGTGCACGAAGGAGGATATAGAATCGCCATTTGTAGCCCATACATCGTCCAGATTTACATGAGAAGCTTTCAGAGTACAACAAGCCAAATAGTGCTCTAATTTCATCACTATTGATACATACTGCATCCCTTTCACGAGAAAACTGGTTGCGTATTTTTACTATTGATGTGTTGCACAATTTCGTTTATCATTTCGTCAGAAAAAAAAACAGTTTCCAGCATTAAATTGGTGTTAACATATTTTTCGCTATTTGTTTTATACCTGGTAGACGAGTAAATATGTTGCGCCTACGTGTGCGACTGGTTTTTCGCTGTAAATGAACAGCCCATTTTGTTTATACCATCTTTTCCAAGATAAACTGTATCACTTTTACATAAACAAAAGCAACATCATTGTCATCAGAATCTGCTGACAATTCGGAGTCTGTATTATGGTCTAAATTTTCACACTGGTCTATATCACTGTCTTCTTCAGCTTGTAAACCAGGTTTCTTTTCATTCTCCTCTGTTTCAATTTCATCTAACCACACCAAAAGTTATCTCTCTTGGACTGGATCCATAATAAAAATCGCAGGTAGTACCATTATTTTATCTCCGCGGTGACGTTAAAAGAGCACAACAAATTCTTTCCACGGTTGTTCGCGTATTGAGCGTGCCGCTCAGCTTATTCCGGACAAGAAATAAATATTTAGTGGTATGGTATTTATGCTTGCCGTCAATGTTTGTACACGTAAGTTCCTCCTATATACTACCATTAGAGACTACATTGAGTCTGAATGCCGGTTGTTTTCTGAATACTTTTCCGCTCACCACGCGAAAAATGACTTTTTCAGGATATTAAATGGCATAGGCTTTCCTTTGCATAATTTCTGTATGTCTATAGATATATTAGCCGCTTTTAAAATAATATTTAAAATATTGCATGTTAGAATCTGTTTTACTGTGGAATCTGGTTTCAAATTTAATTACTTAATTATAGGAGATAGTAATCTGCTAAGTCAAATTTAATTACTCAATTACACACATATCCCATGGACATAATTTAATTTGCACTTTTAATAAATGGGGGGGCTTGGTGTGTCCGTTATAGCAGTTACAATTGTTATAGGAAAGTGATCATTACCATAAAGATAATTGAAACTATTCCATAAGATGGAGGTCAAAAAAAAACCACAAAAACACAAAAAACCGGCCTCGGCCAAAAAAAAAATCAAAAAAATACTAACAAAAACCGGCTTCGACCACCAAAAAAATTAACAAAAACCCCAAAACCCGGGCACGTAGGGCCCAACCCCTTGAGCACCAAGTCGCCGAACTGAGCCGGGACTCAGAGCGGAGACTTGAGGCCCAAGCAAGGAATTTTAGTTCGCGGATAAGCCACATTAAGATAACAGGAATATAGCGGAGATGCGCTGTCCTGAGTTTTTTGCATTCGGTTAGGAAACCATGTTGGGGTTCTATTACCCAGAACCTCCACATGAAGAGCATTTGGCTGATTGTTGTGCCTCTATAGCGCATCAGAGTGCTATAGGGGGGAAAGGGATGGTCTAGAGCATTGGAGCACGGTGGGGTGACTCCTGTTTTTACTCGAGTTAACACACCTTGCTCCAATGAATTGTTACACCCGATCGTACTACCTGGGTGAACATTTCTCATAGGCTGGGATCAATTAAATTGCTTGCTGCTTGCATAAGATGGAGGTTGTTAAGTAGAGCTCATATAGAGATATATCTATAATAATAAGAGTGCCATCCGGAGAACTTAATTAAGTAGGTTTATCAGTATTAATGAGAATTAAATGTTGCATCTCTGTAATTTCAAAGAGTAGTTAACAATTTAAATCGTATTTGTTACAAACAACGCGAAATTTTGACAATTCATATCAGCTATGGCATTGATAAATATGTATTTTAGATATTGCTATTTTATATTGCCAAATTGCTTTTCACATTAGAAGATTGAATCAGTAACGACAAATTTTAACTTTTTTCTTAATCTTGTTAGTTTCTTTTTTCTGTTGCGGTTTGAAATATGATCATGTGCGAATAGTAAAACCTCTTGAAAAGAGGTCATACCTTTTTCTGCTACCGAGGTTAGATATTTTGAGTTTAGTGCATTACATATCGCGTCGCAGATAACTGTATAATCTAGAGGCCACGTTGAGGATTTAGATATATATGTAGTATATGACAAATTTGTATCCAGTAAATAATTAGTCCAAGCTTACAGTAATTTATTAATATTTAATAATTTTTTTTTTATCTAGTGCAAAGAACACATAAAATCGTCCCACGAGTCCTTCCTGTCAGCCATTCGTTCGTTAGACCATCAGCTTTCTGACCAATTAGAACAAACTGAAGAACAAAGAATAGCTATACGTAAGAAGCATGCTCCAAAGTTTGCGAGGTTAGCTCTAGAAAGTACATCTTTGTGTGATTTGATTAGATATGGTATGCCTAAGCAGATTAAGGAGATAGGCAGGGGACAATACGGTGTTGTATCATCGTGTGAACCTTGGGCTGGGATCAATCCGTGTGCATTTAAGTCTGTTGTGCCGCCAGATGATAGACATTGGAATGATCTGGCTATGGAATTCTTTTACACTAGGTATGTATTTGACGTTAATCTGAATCTTCTTTCATAGCAAAGGTTTCGTCTCAAAAGTTTGTGGGAATATGGCAACTGACAAAAGGTTGCAAGGTTTTGGTTTTCATATTATAAAATGCCCAATTTCTTTATCTATTACCAAGAGATAGCAGGAACCATCAATAGTGAGTGTTAAGAGTATATAGTCGTTTGAAGGTAGGAATTACAAAAAACGGCCACAGACGAAGAAGAAAAAGCTACTCTTCCTTTAATATGATAAACAGATGTCATAGGTCGATTGTAATAATGAGAAAGTAGATGAATTGAATTTCGAATTGCTTCTGCTCCTCTTCAGACTTGACTCTTACTGACTAGTTAATATTTGCGGAGCTGAGAAAAATGCTTAAATGAAATAGATTTGGATCAAATTTGCAGGCTAATGCGAAAACTACGCCAATCACAAATCAGTCTACACAAAATACATCCAATTGTTAGGGATTGGGATAGGGATTGTGTTGGAATCAGTTTGGAAGAACAATACGTTAATAAAAAATGTTAAATTCTGCTAAAAAGTTGTGGGTTTCTTAGTTGAGTTCATCTAACTTTGGTCAAAATGTAACAATTATAAGTTTTGTCATATTCACACAATTTTTTGATACACATACTTGATATGCACGTTTAAACATTCAATCTTTCTATAATAATGTTTGTTTTCAGGACGATTCCAGGACATCCAAGGATAGTGAAACTACGTGGGTCTGTGATAGATTATACGTATGGAGGAGGTAGCTCACCGGCTGTGTTATTAATAATGGAACGGATGACGAGAGATCTATATTGTGGACTACTTAGTGGACTTACATGGCTTGCACGACTTAGAATTGCTATTGACGTTATCGAAGGAATTCGATACCTTCATTCACAGGGTTTGGTTCACCGAGACATCAAATTGAAAAACGTTCTTGTGAGTAATGCCAATTTTTTAAAACTGCATTTTCTATTTCATCCTGATCATGTTGTTGAATTTATATTATGCCGAATAAGTTTATTATAATAATTCTAACAGAGTAACGATGACTGTGGCTTATAGGAAGCTATACAGATTTACTTTTTAGTTTTTTTGTATCCATACACGAGTAATGTACATTGGCCTATCTACGCCTTTATTCCGTATAAACAAGATCAGCTTTTTTAAATGTTGTTCTTTTAGTTAGTCTGCTTTAAACCTTTGCATAACAAAATCAAATGAATGTTTTAATTCTTGTAATACAAAGTTGTTATTTTATTGAAATAAATCTTTGTAAAACTCTTCCGAAAGGGCAAAAACCATTAGTATTAGTTACGTCAGTCTGTTTGACTCATTTTATTTATTTTCTGGTTCCTTTCGGTTAGATTGAACCTCCAAATTAGCATCATCCCATCTACAACACACAATATTATTTTTGAGATATATTTACACCACTCTACATATTTTTTTGTATATAGTCAAGTAAAAATCGTACTTGACTTTGACTTATTGCCTTTTAATATTTTTCAGTTGGATTCAAAAGATAGAGCGAAACTAACAGACTTTGGATTTTGTATACCAGAGGCAATGATGTCTGGAAGTATAGTTGGCACTCCTGTTCACATGGCTCCAGAATTATTAAGTGGACGGTATGACTCCAAAGTAGACGTATACGCATTTGGAATACTCTTTTGGTACATTTGTGCCGGACAAGTTAAACTTCCGACACATTTTGATCAATTTCAGAACAAGGAACAATTGTGGAACAGTGTTCGAAGAGGTAAGTTTTTTTTTTTTTTTATTGAAAGATCCACAACACTCTTTTTTATGGCGCGATGAAGATCATATATTTCTGAAACGTAAAGGAAAGATCAAAGATCCGTTACATAAACTTTCAAAAAAAACTGTTATTTTAGAACACACTACATGTTTACTTAAATTTATCATAAAACATACAATAGATCTAGTTAATAAAATAAAATATTTCAATTACCTAGCAACTCCAGGTTAACTTTATTTAACGTAAAAATCTTTTTCCTAATATTCCTCCTAAAGAAATTTTTGTCCTAGTAAAAAATCTTTTGGATCATCATATTACAAAACCAATAATTACATCTGAAATTTTACATTTTCTTGAAATTTGCATAAGCCAAGACTAGTTTGAATTTAATAATCAAATATATACAAATAACACTGCATGACTTATAATGGTTAATCCTCTAAGTCCATTACTATCCGATATTTTTATGGACCATCTAGAAAAGAAGATTTCGAAACATCCGGAATTCAAACCGTTTTTATGTTGGTGGAGGTACGTAGACGATGTAATGGTATGTATTAAAGGAACTAACAGGCAACGTGACCAATTCTTAACATATAATAATGCACTCCATAGTCATATTGAATAGAAACAAAACAGAATCAATCCATAAATTTTCTAGATTTAAAAATTATCAGACTTAAAAACAAACATGAGCTCTCGGTATTTCATAAACCTACCCATACTGATACGACTATACACAATGCATCATCTGATCCTGCACAACATAAATTGGCAGCCTACCATAGCATGTTACATAGAAATTCCTATGTCAAAAAGAACTTCGAGATAGAATTGAATATCATTTAGCAAATAGCAGTAAACAATGGGTATAACGAACACACAATAAACAAAATTTTAAAAAACTACATAAGACAACCCTGAAATTAGTATTTCCACCACCAAAGAAAAAACCACTACCTTTTGCTCAATTACACATATAGGCGAGATATCAACAAAAATAGCCAAACACATAAAAAAGAAAGGAACAACACCAGCTTTTAAAACCAAAAGAAAAAGCACTTACACAGCGGTGGAAACTTAAATGTGGCAACTGCCCAAAAACTTACGTCGGTCAAACTGGTAGAACTTTTAACATACGTATAGCAGAACACAAAAGGGCTTTCAATAATAGAAAAATAGATTCTTCGCACGCAGTTCACCTTCTAGATCTAGACCATAATCTTTCTTATAATGACCAATTTCAAATTCTTTACATTCAAAATAAAGGCATTAAGCTATCTTTATCAAAATCTATGGAAATTAACAAATTCAAAAATATAGATAACTCTGAATGACCAACTTGAGACAAACAGTTTTCTCCTCTCCTCAACTTATTCAGTCGAAGACTATAAAGTGAGCATACCAAAAATAGATCACATGACAAAGGCACTCTGTCGAAACAGCTGTAGTGATAATAAATTATAATAAAATTTGTGGAAGTGCTGAAAACAAACATTTTCAGTGGTTTATTTTTAGATAAAGATCCAAGAGTCTATCCTGTCTTACGAACAGCACTTGTCAAGTTCTTTATAATTGTTCTAACCTCCCTAGTTACTGGGTACTGGGGATTTACCAGAAGAACAAAATTTAAAAACACTATTTGGAAGTAATTATTCGTTTTTGCGTTTAACTCGAAGGTCTAACCGGCAAAGGTTTTTTCAATAAAAAAAAATTTAAACCACTTATAGATCTTAATTTATATTGAAGACGGTAAAAAAAGTGTGCTAGAGAAGGAAGTATTATAGGAAGTATGTTATAGGGCTAAGAACCCACTTCAATTCACTGGAAACATTTCTTGATGGTAAAATCTCTACCAAATAGCCAAAGGCTAAGAAGGTATACTTAGGTCAAGATGTAGTGTCTTTATGACTTTGAGTTTCATATTTTTTACAATTATGAACCCCTTTCAAGGAACTTGATACAATTGTTCATTAAAAAAAAACTTAAAAGCGGTATTATCAGGTACTTTACGAAACAAAAATTTCTAAACTATTCTTAAGTGTAATTGATGATCCTATTATTATTTGAAATACTCTTTCGTTAACATTATATTTCATATCAATCTCGGTGCGAATTTACAAGTAATAGTGTACAAGGATTTTTATGTCAGTCCTTCTCTTCAAACTATGTCTAATACTGTCAGTTTTTATATATGTAAAGTGATATCACTTGGTCAACATAATTAGTTTTGTCGAAGTAGGTCTAAAAGCTGCTGGTCTGATTGAAATCATTGCTTATTCGGTTATCAATCCTTCTAGTAATTTATCAGGGTGTGGTTCCTTCTCAACGTCGAAAGCTGCCTTTTATATTCTGCTATTCGTTTATTAAAATTTCTACCAGTTTGACCGATGTAAGTTTTTGGACAGTCGCCACATTTAAACTTGTATACACCACTGTCTAAGTGCTTTTTATTTTGGCTTTTGTTGTTTTTAATATATTTTCCAAAGTTGTTATTTGTTCTGAAAGCTGGTGTTATTCCTTTCTTTTTTATGTTTTTGGCTATTTTTGTTGATATTTTGCCTGGTGGTGGAAATACTAATTTCAGGGCTTTCTTGTGTAGTTTTGATTTAAAATTTTATTAATTGTTTGTTCGTTGTATCCATTGTTTACTGCTATTTGCTTAATGATATTTCATTCTGTCTTAAAGTTGTATTTTGACATCGGAATTTCTGTTAATCTGTATAACATAGGCTGTGTAATTATGATAGGCTGCCAGTTTATGTTGTGTGGGATGGAATGATGAATTGTGTATAGTCGTGTCAGTATTGGTAAATTTATGAAATTTGGAAAGGTCATGTTTGTTTTTAAGTCTGATAATTTTTGAATCTAAAAACATTATGGATTGATTTTGTTCTGTTTCTATTGGTCGAAAATTGGTCGAGTTGCTTGTTAGTACCTGTGAAACATACCAGTACGTCGTCTACGTATCTCCACCAATATAAAAACTGTTTGAATATGGAATGTTTTGAAATCTTTGTCTCTAGATGATCCATAAAAATAACTGATAGTAACGGGCTTAGAGGATTGTCCATTATAAGTCCTGCACTGTTATTTGTATATATTTGATTATTAAATTCAAAGTAGTCCTGGTTTATTCAAATTTCAAGAAGATGTAAAATTTCTGATGTAATGATTGGACCTTGAATGCGACATCAATGAAAAAAACTGGAATCATTCGAGCTGTGGGTATATAGAAGAATTCTGAAAATATCGTGGACAGAACACGTCAAAAACAAAAAGGTTATGAGAAGGATGAATAAAGAAATAAAAAATTTTAAATATAATTAAAACAAGAAAATTGGAATATCTCGAACATATTACACGTGGAGAGAAATATACCTTGCCCAACTGATTATGCAGGGAAAGATCCAAGAAAAGAGAATCATAGGGATACGTAGAATGCCATGACTCTGCAACCTCAGAGAGTGGTACGGATGTATATCAAATGAACTTTTCAGAGCAGCCGTCTATAAACTCCGAATAGCTATGATGATTGCCGATCTCCGCCGCGGAGATGGGACTTTAAGAAGATTTTCTCCTTCCCAAAATCCAAAATACTAGATTCACTAATATCAGTTAAGGCTTTTTTTATTTATTTTAACTTTTTTTTTTATCCAGCTTGAAGAGAAAAAGAGTGGTGCAAGTCTGACTTGCACTGCCAAATCAGATGCTTGACAGTCAAGATCGTGCCGCTATCTATGAGCTAGTTAGAGGAGTCAAGACTTGCTCCATTATTCAAACTAATCATTTGGAACATGTAGAACATGAATTGTATGTACTTAACTACACTTATACAAAAAAAATGACTTCACCACTTTTTCTTTCACTGCCTCAAATATTACTAAAAATTATTCATTCAATAATATACAAAATAAAGTATAAATTTAATAAATAGTACACCAATAAACATTGAATAATTTTGTTTGCAATAATATGGAATTTTGTTGTAGGAATTCGACCTGAATTTTTGCCGAATTTTGAGGAGGAATGCTGGAGCCTCATGGAACAGTGCTGGGCTGCAGATCCCGCAGACAGACCTTTGTTAGGTTACGTACAACCCCAACTCGAAGCTATTTACAATAGTGTAAAGGGAAAATGCCATTCACAATCTCCGAGTAGTACTAGTCCAACCTAAATTTCGAACAAACAAAATTAGCTGATTTTAATTTACCTTTTTACATATCTATTCAGTAGATGAGCTTTTTACAGAATTATCTATTTTATGAACTGTTCTCACTGTTACGTTTTAAAATTTCGTAATTGTTATTAACTGTTTTCTACGTACCATTAAATTTTATAGGTATAACTACGGCGTTATTTGTATCAGTGATTATGAAGGAGTGTAGGCTTTCACGGCTAGTGATTTGTAAAGGAACACTGTTATCGGAGTTTGTATGCTGTATTTGATCTGATTAATCAATGGTTGAGGCGAATGATACGAGTTTACATCTGTATATAAACCTCGATAATGATGTACCTATCTGTGAGATTGCTTCGAATTAATTAACAATTTTTGTATACTTATTTAATTATAGTCATTATTAAATTATGATAACTGTCCTTAAATGAAATAATTGTTAACGATATTTAAATAAATAAAATTATTTTACGCGTTTGAGTTTTTTTAGCACATATATTTTTTCCAACGATAGGATTCTTTACGACTTGCTACTTTCGTTATATATGGACCCCATATAGATCTATCATATTTGAGACATCTTTCGCCCTTTTTTCTATAAATACCCTAATGATTGCCTCTTCCAAATCTCCTGTTTTGTCCTTGTGATCTATAGAGTATAAATAATGAATTTTTTTAGAAACAATAACATTTTTATCACGCCATAGTACAAATTGAATAGTGCTTGCTTAAATGTTGTTTGCTATGCTATGTGTTTTAAACAAAATTTAAAACACATAGCATGGTGGAGATATGTAGATGATGTATTCTTAATATGGCCTCATGAATCGGAGTTGTTTGACACATTCCTTAATGATGTCAACGATAGAGAAGAGACAATAATATTTACCATGGAAGAGGAATATAATAACACAATGCCTTTCCTGGATGTTTTAATCTCTAAGAACGATACTGGATATGAGACTCGAGTGTATAGAAAACCAACTCTCACCAACAGATATTAAAATCACAAATAAAATCATAATATCAATATTAAAAAGGGAATTCTTCTTCTTAAAGTACCCTCTCCTCAATGGAGGTTGGCTACTACAATTTTAAACTCTTCTCTATCTTCAGCTGTTCTTATTAGTTGTTCAAATTTAGCCCTGTCCATTGTCGGATGTTTCTGAGGCACGATAGTCTTTTCCTTCCTAGGTCTCTCTTTCCCTCGATTTTTCCTTTCTCTATTAGTTGGGCATATTGGTACTTATTATTTCTCAGTATGTCAGTATGTGGCCTAGGTATGAAAGGGAAAAAAGGGAATTAATCAATCCTTATACGATAGAGCCAAAATTGCTTGTTTTAACGAAAATTCGTTTCTAGAATAAAAACATTTGTTAAAATCTGTTATGATTATCCTTTATCGTTTATAAATAGGGAATTTTAAACAATCGACCGAATAGAACAGAACAACTTAGAATAAGATTTTACAGCATACACAAGGAATAATACGAGGAAAATAACAATACCATACATAAAAGGATTATCAGAAAAACTTAAAAAGATAGGAAATAAATTCAACATCTGGGTACCATATGGTCATCATTATCATCCACTTGTTATCATTATTACACATTAGCTGCTCAGATTTTCTCGTAGTTTGTAATATTCCATTATCGTCTCTTCTTCCTTAAGATTTGCAGAGGAGGGAGGTCCGGTAGGGCCTCCATAGCTGTTATTGGTGTGATCCTTAGAGCCCCTGTGATTTCAAACCAAGCAGGGTTTTGCACCTTGCTTCATTTGAGGATGGTACTATCTGGATACACCTTGTTCCACTATACCATTATTATATAAATAATTTTTGGTTTTACCACTATTTTATAAATCCAATATACCATGTCCGGTTTTAAATCTCACATTTTTTCATGAGTGCATCTTTCTACCATTAACGTAGTTACCGCTCTCTTAGTTATTCCTTCTATCTGCTAATTACAAGTATGCTGCAGCTTAAAACTACCCTAAGTTACTTTTCTCCCTTTATTAGATTTAGATTTGTACTATTCAGGCTTAGAGGACATAATCCCTCATAATACTTCCCTCTGAAAAATTTCATGATTTTGGATTTCTGGGGGCCCATGTTAAGCCCTACATTTAAAGCCCCTTCTGTAACTGCAGTCGGAAACCTGTTGCATTATATATCTGACTGTGGCAGTCAATTTGACGTAGGCTAAGATGAGCAGATCCTCCACGTGTCCCAGGAAATAATGTCTGTCATTGCTATCAGCACATCCATGACCAGATTCCGCAAAACATAAGGTAAGACTCTCTCCGTAAATAACATTTGTCTACTAGTATATGGGAAATGAGTCAATACTTACAATCTTAAGTAGTTTTTATTTAATACAGTTGGTGAATTTTTAAGCTACCGGTTTCAAGGCTTACAACATTTGCCCATCATCAGGCCCCAGTACGTTATTTTTATATGTATTAAAAACTAAAAGATGTCAAATACAGGAAAGCTCTATAAACTTATGTACTTCTGAGAATCACCTTCCCCCTTAGAGAAGTATGTCTTGTTCTACTGCCATTGTTCGTTTTATCTCCTCATTTCTGATGCGATCTATTTTTGTCACTCTGCAGCTTCTTCTCATAAACTCCACTTCAGTTGCTGTGATTTTGGACCTGTTTCGTTGATTTATTACCCAATTCTCTGCTCCATAGGTCATTATACTGCGTACCAAGGTGTTATAAATTCTCTTCTTTGTATTTCTGGTAATCTGTCCATCCCACAGTATCCCGTTCATATATTTAATACATGTTCTCTATGTCTTGTCTGTGCTAATCTGGTGGTTATTTCTTGCTCGGTGGTTCCATTTTTTGAGAGTATGAATCCTAAATATTTGAATTTTTCAGTGTCGTTAATTTCCCTATTATCGTCCATTTCCAAGTTTCTCACGGGTTCTTGATCTATTGTTAAATATTCGATCTTTTCTAGGTTTATTTCCAGTCTATTTTTTGTGTATTCCTTGTCTAATTTTCGGAGTATATAGCACAGATATTCTTCATCTTGAGCCGTTACCACTTGGTTATCTGCAAAGCTTAATGTGTACAAGAAGTTGTGCTGGACTGGTATTCCCTTCCCTTCACATTTCCTTTTCCAGGGATTTAATATTTGTTCGAGGAATATCTTGAACAGTGTCGGAGATGTAGAGCATCCCTGCAATAAGCCTTTTGTGGTCTTAAATTCGTTGGAGTATTTATTGTCGGTTTTAACTCTTACCTTGTTGTTGTAAAGTTTTTTACGACCTCTCTTAACCTCTTATTAGTTTATTATTAGTTATTCAGATTTCCTTCATCGTGTCCCATAGTTGTTTTCTGGGAACCGTGTCATATGCCTTTTTTTTTAAATCTATGAATGCCATGTGTACTGGTCTATTTTTTGCCATTTTTTTTTCAATTAATTGTTGGAGTGTATATATGTGGTCTATGCGAGATCTTCCTGCCGTGAACCCCGCCCGATCTTCTCCGATTTTATTTGAGATAGATTTTTTCAGTTTTTTTTTTCACTATCTGTATCCCTTTTTATGTATCGAGGTTATATATGCTTTGGACCATTCATCTGGTATTTCGTTCAGGTTTATAGCGTTACTGAACATTTCGTGTATAATTCTGTGTAGTTTGTCCGTTCCGTACTTAATTAGTTCATTAACGATTCCTTCTGGTCCCCCTGATTTTTTGTTCTTTAAAGTCTTTATGGCATTCTCTTTACTTCGATTAATCTTATCTCAATCTGTTCTTCATTCTAATTTTGTTGTTGTTCCTATTCTATGTCTGTCTCTATGAAATCTGGTCGGATTCTGTGAGTATTTCTTTATAGTAGTCTTCCCACTCTTTTTCTGATATGTATTGTATTTGGACCTTTTCAGTGTCTGTCTGTGTGTCTGTCTCTATGAAATCTGGTCGGATTCTGTGAGTATTTCTTTATAGTAGTCTTCCCACTCTTTTTCTGATATGTATTGTATTTGGACCTTTTCGTTGTTATTTTTCCTTAAAGATTTCAGTATTTTCTAGGATTCCGAATTCCTTGTTCCTCCTATGTATTGTTCAATTTGTGCACATGTTTCTTCCCATTCTTCATTCTTTTCTTTTGCCCTTCTTCGTTTTACTTCTCTGTTTTTCTCTTTGTACTTCTGTGTATCTTCTGGGGATTGGGTGCTCATACTTTTCATATATAGAATTTTCTTCTCCTCAATACATTGTTTGGTTTCTTTGTTTATTTTTACTTTGTGTTGGGTATTTCTTTTCTCAAGTTTTCCCAAAGCTAACACTTTCCAATGCCGCCTTTTTTATGCTGTGTTTGACGTGCTCGTACGTTTCTTTGACGTTTCTGAAACCGAAATCCTGTAACTTCTGGTCCAGTCTTCTCTGGTATAGGTCCCTTTCCGTTTGAAGTAAATTTATGTTGAACTTCATTTCTTCTTCTTTCTGTTCATTTCTACTTGGTCTTCTTCGTGTTCTTTCTTCCTTCTAGTTTGGGTTTTCAACTTGTAGGGAAACCCCATTTGTGAAATTATTAATCGGTGGTCAGTGCCATTCGGCTCCTCTCTTTACTCGTGTATCTCTAATTTTGATAGTACTACTTTTGCTGACAATTATGTAATCGATAATGGATCTGATGTTTCCCGTTGTTTGTACATACGTGTATTTATGTATGTCCTTATGTCTGAAACAGCCGTCAGTAATTTTCAGATTGTTCAGTTCGCACAGGTCAATTAGTCTTTCTCCATTATTGTTTGTCACTTCTTCTCCAAAACGGCCTATCGTGCTATCATTTTGTCGTTTCCCTGTTCTTCCATTTAGGTCTCCTGCTATTATCCCCTGCGCTTTTCTGCTACCATACTGTTATCCGAGTTTTACTATTCGTTCATTGATGGGTTCCAATGTTTTTGTAGTTTTTACCCACTTTTTTTACTAGTATCTTCACTCCGGCAGCTGCTCTGTCTTCCTTCTTTTTTCCGCTCCAACAGTAGAAGATGTCATCTACAAATCGTGTGCCATTTCCCTTTTTCTTGGTCTCAGTTTCTCTATCACCTGTTTGTCCTTAGTTCGCCATCCTTGGATGTTCCAAGTACTACAGGTGATTTCCTGTTTCTCTTTTTGACGTTGCCTGAAATTTAAGACTAGGCTTCTCTTACCAAAAGCAGAATTGCCCAGAATTTTTACAAGAAGCTTGTGAAACTATTTTGAAGAATTTTTTAGGAAGTTAAAACAGGACATCAGCTTCATCTTGAGCTCAGCATAATTTCAGTTCAGAAAATGGGTCTCAAAGAAACCAAAAGTATTTGAAGGGGACTTACAAAATAATCAACAAACAAGTTGAGCATTATTTGTCTGAAGACATCACTAATAAAACTTTGGGGTTGTACTGGAATACTCAATTGGACATCTTGCAGTACAATATTAATTTTAATATACAATCCCAGAAAACCAAAA